TTTTTACAGAAAAATCTATCTCCTCTTTCAGTTTTTGATATTTCTAGGAGTTCTATAGCTCAAAAAAACCGCAATTATTTTCTCTACATTTTCTATGGATGAATTTTTAATTCGTCTGATAAAATTTTTTTTATTATCAAAAAACAACGCAAAAATGCGATTTTGTGCAATTCCATGACGTTTTTGATTATAAAAAAAGTTTTATCAGACGAATTAAAAATTCGACCATAGAAAATGTAGAGAAAATAATCGCGGTTTTTTTTTGAGCTATACTCCTAGGAATGTCAAAAACTGAAAGAGGAGATTGATTTTTTCTGTAAAAAAACTTTCAAAAATGACCATTTTTGACTTTTTTCTTTTGGAAAAGGACCATACATGAATCTATAACCACTAATTAATTTTTTAAGAATTATTTGAATCATCTTGGAACTCCACAAAATCAGATAAAAAATTCTGAAATTATGGTTTTAGACCTGCAATTGTGATCGCGCCAAACTTTTTTTTCTGTAGATCAAAAATTAATTTGCAGTTCGGAAATGTTCTGTGGGAGAGCGTGTAAAAAGACACAATGCCAATTGTTGAATATTGTTTTCATCTCCTTAGCATTCTGTATTCCTATTTTTCGCATAAAAAACTGTTCTTGTTTTTCTTTTTTTAAGAACTACCATGCTTCGAATTCTATTCTTGCCGTCTTTCTCAAACACCCAGAGAACAATGTGCCAGATCTATCCAAAAAATAGATTTTTTAATCGCATCTTCTCTGATTCTCATCCTCTGCTCTCCCAACTTTGAGCAGTTCAGAAATACGTGTGAAGCAAAAAAAATGAGCCTGAAAAGGTGTTTTTTTTGGATTTTGTACTTTTCTGCTTGTATGAAAATCTCACAAAATATTCATACATGAAAATAATACTATCCTCATGATACACTCATTGTGCTCGACATGTGATGTTACAACTTTTTTCTTCTTCGTTTTTTCCACTTTTGAGACCAAGAAAACAAGAAGCCGGGAAAATCTAACGGCTGATGTGTTAGGCACATTTGAGATCACTGGAAAATTCTCATATCACTCTTACTTGAGCGGCTTCTGACTCAATTTCATGCTTATCAGAAAAATTTTGTTCGCTCTTTCAATTGAAGCTCCGCCCTTTTTTTGAGCAGCAGGTGTGTGCGTGTGGTACATTAAGAACTCATTCAGAATATGTGTGGTAGATTAGTGGTGTCTAGAAAATACATATTCTAGGCAGAATTGAATCTGTGAATTTGGTGCTGTGAAGTACACTTGTTTTTTTCCGCTTATTTTTACTTGCTCATGGTTTAAGCGTCAAACAACTTGATAACAATTATCGCTTTCGATTTTCAGATCGGACAAAATGGCAACAAACTTGGATCGGCCGCAAACTTGTGCGATCTGTCATGGCAAGGCTTATGGCTACAACTATGACGTGAGTGATCGAATATATAGAATTTGAGATTTTGAATATGTAAAATTATCGAAATGATTTCCAATTCATCAAAGAATCTAATCGGATCCAATGAGCGGTCTTTTCAGAACTAGAATGAGTAAATGCATAATTTTGTTTGCAGGTGGTCTCATGTAACGCGTGCAAAATGTTCTTTCGAAGAGCAAACGTTGAGGGAATTGGCGAAAATTGTAAAAGTGGTGGTGGATGTTACGACGGAGATGATTTCAAGAGTAAGTTTCAGAATTTCAAGATAACTGTATGCTTTGATCTTCTGCAATGCGAATCTTTAGTTTTTTTTTGTGAGCTGCTGCCTATTAAGTTTAATATTATTTGTTCATTTAAATGCGCAAGGGCCACTAAGCACCTGTTTTTGAGTTCTTTGAAAGTATTCAGCCTAGGCTCAATGGAAAAAAAACGAGTTGTTTCTCGTATTCCAATTGATTGTAGCACAAAATTTGAACTTGATTATTAACTCTCAAAAAAACAAAAATCGAATTCTCAATTCAAATTTGTCCTTAAAAACTTTTTTTTAAACAGTATGCGTTTCGAATAAAAAACGGTTAACCTCAGTTTCTGAAGTTCAACCTCAGTTTCTGAAGTTCTGAAACTATACGTTTTCGAGATTCGGGGTATTCTGAAATTCCGCTTTTTGGAAGTTTGAAGATTCTTGGAGATTAAAAGATGAGAGACACATACCTTAGTCATTCTCTTGAAATTATGGTATCACATATTTTGCGTTATCAGACGTTAATCAAATAACGTAATTCAGTCGGCGGCTCAAAATATTTTCGTCAAAAGTTCAAATCCCCGAGAGGCTTCAACGGGGGAAAATAATATCAAATCCCAAAAATTTATAATCCTTATTGGTTTAATCTGCAGCTAGTGCATTTTCTTCGACGGAGTTTGTGCTCCCGATTTTCATTTCTACTGAGGGGATAATCGTTTGATCAGGAAGATGATGTGTAGAGAAATGAAATTTGTGCTAAATACACTATTTGTTTTTCTTGTGGGGAGAGCCGTTTGATCAGACAAGTGATGTGTGTGAAGAAGTGTAATGTTGACGCTGTCTGTAAAATCAGAAGAATCAGTAGCGAAGAAGGAAATTATGTTTCTGAACTCTCAAGAACAGGGAAGTGCAAGAAAAATTATCCCGATTTGTTTCAAACAGAGATCACGGTTTCTCCAAAAGCAAAAATTGTGGTCTCTATAGACCCTCATGAAAATTTTCTCATGTTTTTGTAGTCAAAACAGATGTGTATAGGAAGCGTTACTAGATTTTAGTTCTCAAAGTCTGAAGAATGTAGGATACGGAATACATTCAGTTTTTAGACGATTTTCGTGGGAACTTTTAAAGAGTTGAGAAATATTTGAAGTTGCTCAATGATGCTCCAAATCTGATAAAAACTATGTGGATAAAAACCAAAGAGAGTTTTGTATAAGGATTGTGAGAATAAAACTAATGAAAAGGTTTTGGATTTTGTGAATGAAACAAAAATGGCTCATGAATATTAAGATTTCCTAATTTCGGAGGCTTGGCCCGGCGGGCCTGTCATTTCACAAATTTTGAAAATTTCAAAAAACACATAAGGGGAGACCCTTATGTGATTTTTTTCGATCAAAACATTTTTTTCGAGTTTTTTGAAAATATTTTTTGATCAAACTGACAAACAATCCAAAATAACAAAAAAAATGAAGAAAATTATATTGAGAGCTCAAAATTTGGCTAAAAAATACATAATTTTTAGATACCGGGCCTTCCGGGCCGGGCCCGGGCCTCAAAAATTTCCTCAGGCCCGGAATTTTACAAGTATGGTTAAGAGTAATCCCATCCATGACCAACAAAGAAACTTTTTGAGTGCGCTGTTGGCATACCGTAGGCCAAGAAGGTGTCATCATTCCATAAAGGTTTTTTATTATTTTCCGATTTATTCCAAAAAAACTTCGGAATAATATTGATCGGCATTTTTGGAATTAAAAACTCTGAGTTCCGTTCCCAACATCCCCACTGTAAGGGGGAGGGAGTGAAGTAGAGTATTATCTTTCGAATCTAAAAAGAAATTTCAGTTTCAAACATTCTCATATTTTCTGAATTTTCGAATTTTCAAAATACCTTGATTATAAGATTATAAGAGTATTTAAAAAGATTCCCAGTTAATTTGAAAAGTTTGACAACTTGAAAATATTCAAAGCTACATAGCAAAGTTGCATTTGATGAATTATTTTCCAATATTTTTATTTTCAGAAGACCGCCCTCGCTGTCGAGCATGTCGGTACAGGAAATGCATTGCACTTGGAATGCAGCATAAATCGACCGACTCTGACGCATCTCCGTCTCCAGGGCCAGATACCCATCCTCGCCAACAAGCTAAAAAATCTATGATAGTAGCAGTAGTACAAAAACCACTGGTGACACAGGCTCATATAGATTCAAGGCTCATTCAACAGATGTTGGTCCTTCATCATACGCGAAGAGAAGTTTACCTTACAATCAACATATGTGAAGATCCCAGCTTCTTAGATTTGGTACTTGAAGGTTCCAATTTATCAAAGTACAAACGACCGGTACGCATTCTCACGAATGTCACAACTTTTCCAAATCCTTTAAAATGTTTTAGCAACCAATCGAATGGGAGAAAACAGAACGAAAATTAAAACCATGGGGCTCTTTGGGTGTTTTGCTGATCGTCGAGATTGTGAAAGCCATGTCTTTCTACGAAGAACTCCTACTTTCAGATAGGGTTAGTTTTTTGAGCTTTTTCAAGGCTACATTTCACTAATAACTTTTAGGTGATTCTCCTGAAAAATGTGGCTTTTAAAAGCCATCATCTCTCAATTGCATTCGATTCGTTCATGGCAAAAAAGGGGAGAGTGCTTGCCCCAAATGGAGAAGAAATGTTCCCAGATCAGCTTTTCCAAATTGCCGAGTGCTACGATATCATAATGGACCTGCTGACATCACCTATGCAACCACTTTTAGAGCTGAATCTCACTGAAAATGAATATTTGCTGCTGAACATGATCATGATTTGTAATCCAGGTCAGTTGACATTAAAGTTTTGAGGAAATTTGAAATTGATAGAAAAAACCGTTTTGTCAAAATCTGTATTTTTTTAATGTCAAACATTAAAATGGTTAGTTGTTTACATTTAAAAAAAACAAAGCTGAGCCACTAAAACAACAACCAGAATCATGAATAAGCTCAAGTTTTGGGTTTGAACTCTGATATTTTCAGAACACCGTTAAACCTGTATTAGAAATGCAACTTTAATTGAAGAACGCTACTATAAAAAAAATTATCTGAAGTTACTTTGCAACAAAAAAAGGCCAGGTTTTACAGTGTTTGAAACCTCGGAACGTGATACTTTCCGTTTTATAGTATTCTGAAACTATGAGGTTCTAAATGTAAAGCGTGTTGGTTTTGAATTTCTGAATATTTGACAATCTAATCTAATGAAATCCAAAATCTGCTACACGGAGTTTTTCGAAGTTACTTCCTAGGTATTGAAATTTGAAAGATTGCAGTCAAAATTTGGTTGAATACTTTCTTATTTATTTTACAATTGTCTAACCCACACGTCCCTGTCATTTTTTCTCTATCCGTATTTGTGATTTTTGTCCAATTGCAGCACTTTCGGGACTTTCTCCATCCGGTCAGGAGATTCTATCAAAGGAGCAACAGGCTTATGCTAAACTACTTCTTCAAGTCTGTATGATGCGAGATCCTAGGGAAGGACCAGCAAGATACGGAAAAATTTTGGCAGTCATTGAAAAGCTGGAACGTCAAAAGGATGTGACACATCGAGTGGTTCACACTCTTCGAAGAAAATGGAAACCAGATTTTCATTTTTCTGGAGTGTTAACGGAAGCTTGTCGCTTGGATTCCGACAGACTACCCTATATGAAAACTGAAATTTAGAACTCCCAATAAATAACATGTTTGTATGATTTCCGTTACATTTGTGTTCAATTTCATCAACTTTGAGAAAAAACCGGTGTTTTTGAGGCAATGAATAAAGTTTTCTGAATGTCCTTTTTTCCGTAATCTGATTTTCGCATGATAATAATGACGATATGATGTAGTGCTTTGTAATTGCATGTTTTTCAAATAGTTTTTAATGTGGAATGGGTTGTAAAAACTGTTTCGATAGTTTGAAGTAGTGGTCTACAGAACGGCCATAGCCCGCGGCGGTACTGTTATCCACAGCCATGCTTGTACGTATCACAAAGTATTCATTATGAACATTCTCGAAAACAAATATAGAGTAAAATTTTTTTAGAAAAGTTTATTTTTTTTCCTAATATGTACCAATTATGCACATATTTCCATACTCAAGAAATTTTAAAAAAACTGATAAAAGATTTTTTGAAATGTCCAAACATTTTTTTCCTTGTTTCAGAGTTTATAAAAATTATTATTCCACTTCTGGAAAACCGTTTTTTCTCCAAAAATGAACATAATTATCTTCCAAACAGAATTTTTTTGAGGTTTTAGTTTCTTGAAACCAATGAATTCTGATATTTTATAACATTTGAGTTTACTGATTGCTTAATTTTTAATTTTAAAAATTTCCGAATCCGTTTATTGAATTCCAATAAGTCGAAATTTGAAGATTAATAATTAGAAAATGATTTGAAAAATATCTCAAAAAATTCTAGAAAGTTCCAGAAGTTTCCAGAAAATTCCAGAAAACTCAAAAACCTTCCAGAACATTACAGGACATTCTAGGAAGTTCCGACCATTCCAGAAAAATTCCGGAAAGTTAAGGGAAGACTTCAGAACACAAAGAAAGTGTCGAAAAATCTCCTGAAAATTTCAAGTCATTCTAAAAAGTTCCAGGACGTTCTAGAACAATCCGGGAACTTACAGAAATTTCCAGAAGTTTCCGAAAAATTCCAAAAGTTTTCCAAACATTCCAGAAAATTTCAAAAAATTCTAGAACGTTCCAAAAAATTCTAGAAAATTCCAAAAAATTTCAAAAATGTCTAGAACTTTTTCAATATTTACTTTTCTCTATAATAATACAGGTCTTGCAACCTCTTCCCTATACTTTCAGTGTAATCTAGAACTATAGGCTTTGATAAAATGATGTATAAGTATTCGAAATACAGAAAACCCGAACATTTGAAAAACTCTGAAAATGCAGATGTTCGAAAATTGGTAAATCTGTCATGAAAAAACTCGGAAACTAGTAAATTCAGAAAATCGGATATTTGAATTCAGTTATCGTGTTTTCACTAAGAACCGATAAGACTTAATGGAAATTACTAGAAAATTGGAAAAAATACGTCTTCAATAACCAAAAAAACAAGTGGCTTAGCCAGGGTGGGATTCTATCAGATGTAGCCATAAATTAGATATGGACCCCTATTGAGAAAATCTAAAATTTGAAAATTTAAATACTTTGGAGTCGCTCGAAAAGTAAGAAATTCAGAAATTATTAATTCAAGTGTAAGATACAATGAACGGAAGCCAGGAGGTTGAGCCCCCGTCAGGGGGCTCAAACCGACTGGTCTTTACTAATAAAAAATTAACGATTTTTTCCAAGAGATCCATTGCAATAGACGTATTAAATTATGACCACCTTATTGAAAAATTGATCTCAAGAATTCGTTTACATATCTGTCAGAAACAATGCCTCAGCCCCTGCGTTAGAAGTGAGCTCATAAGGCCGCCAGGCCGCCAAAACCGCATCATTTACCCAAACCAAAAACCGTGACTCTATTTCAAACAGCCTTGATATGACAATAAACGTGTTTTTGGGTGCTTTTTTTCGTTTGTTCTGTTCTGCAGGTGAAAAACGGACGTTTTTCTCTGAAGGGTGAAAAATCAAATAAAATAGTTATGTAATTTGCAGAAGCTTAAAATCAATTTGACAATTTTTCAGATTACCGAAATTATTAGAGTTTCAGGTTACTTTTTTAAATTATATATCATTAGTTTTCTTGACTTTAGATAATCGGTGTTTCAAAAAAAAAAGTATCTTTCAATTCTCATAATTCCAAAATTCTGAAACGGGCTGAAGTTTTACAGCTACGAATTCTGAATCATAGAATAAATGTTTTTGGAAATTTAATTTATTATCCTTGTCAGAGAAAAAAAAGGTTGAGTCGAAGTGTATGCGATGTTTGTAAACAAATATCTGAAAGCGTAAACAACCGGAAACAGTTGAAACGAGTGCGACAGTAACCCGGCGGGAAAATGTTAAATTTACCTATTTTTTAGTTTGTCTCATATTTTGCAGCAAATTTCGTCGAATATGGTTTGTTTTTCATTGTTTTTTGCGGTGTTTTAAAATATATTCGACGAAATTTGCTGCAAAATATGCGAAAAGCTAAAAAATGAGTAAATTTAATATTTTCCCGCCGGGTTACTGTCGCACTCGTTTCAACTGTTTCCGGTTGTTTACGCTTTCAGATATTTGTTTACAAACATCGCATACACTTCGACTCAACCTTTTTTTTCTCTGACAAGGATAATAGCAACATAGTAAGAATAAAAATTATTCTGAACCTAGTTTTTATGAATATTTCGACTCTAAACGTTATGCGACTATTTAACAGAATTTTCGCGGAAATTTGAAAGTTAAATGTCAAAAACAAAACAAGTGACTAAAACCATCAATTTTCAGGTCTCACCGGACTCTCGTTATCTGCTCAATCCATTGTCTCTAAACAACAATTAGATGCAACACGACTTTTGTTCCAGTTATGTATGCATGAAGATCCAATAGAAGGACCTGGAAGATTCGGGAAAATCTTAGGAATAGCGGAACATCTAAATAAACAAAGAAAAATAATGAGAGATCTGAATGCCGCATTAAGGCTGAAGAAAAATATTATTTATGTTCCAAAAGTGTTACGAGAGCCTTGCAATATCGAAAATGATGAGCCGGAATGGTCTTAGTAATATTTTTGTTGGTTTCTAAATCTTGTTATTCTGTTCTTTTTTATTTTTCAAAAACTTTTTAGCTGTTTTCAAAATAGTTGAAAAAATGATTTAATGTAATTTTTAACTAACAATAAATTTAAAAACCTTTTTTTTGCAGTTTTCCCCGAAAAACAATCTGATTTAACGCGCACATAATTGTTACATTGACAGATCAAAAAACGTGCGGATTAGCAATTTCTACTAGTTCAAGTTAATTCGAAGTACATAATCTTGTGTTGAACACAAACTATGAAAATTTAGATTTCTGTTTCTTTATGGATAACGCATGAAATCAGATTGACCGCCATCCAAGAAATCAAGTTCTGCATAGAGTTGCTAAGATGGATTTGCGGTTTCTATAAAGTTTCCCTATCATTGGAAAAAAGCGAGCTCGATATGTATATTTTTACCTCGTTCGAAAATAGTAAATGCCAGTCGGTTTGAGCTCCCTGCCGGGGGCTCAACCTCCTGGCTTCTGGTAACTGTATCTTGCACTTGAATTCTTAATTACAAAAGTTTCCCACTTTCCGAGTATTTTTATTTTCAAATTTTATTCCTAATCGACAATTTTCCAAATTTCTAATGTCTCGAAATTTGAACTAAGATTTACCAATTCTGGGGTTTCTTAAATCATTCAGTTTTTCCGAACTTTTGAATTTGGATGACTAAACTTTTGAAGTTTTAAAATCCGGAATAATTCAATTCCTAATATTTTGAAATTCAGGATATTTTCAGTAATCGATTTTTTTGTTTCCCTGGATTTTCTGATTTCTTATTGTCGAGATTTCTAAATATCTGGTGCTTAGAATACCCACCTTTTTCTCTATTTCTGACTTTTTGGTTTTAGATGACTCAAAATATAGGGAAGGGGCTACAATATCTGAATTCTCCTTTTGTCAGCGCTCGGCAGTCCATGACTACATACCACACACCACTATAGGAGTCCCACGCCCCTTTGAGTTATTCAAGTTAATGTCCGAGACGGACACACACACACACACACACACACACGCAGACACACACACAGAAAAGTTTCCTTAGTAAGAAGTAGATTCTGCGTTTTCGAAATTAGTTTGTCAATTTTTCTCGCATTTGTGATGGAAAAGTAGGATTTCGAAAATTCCGAAATGCTGAATTTTTAAAAACCGGAATATTTCAAAATTCTGTTTGATTAGCAATCGCAAAATTCTGAGATTTCGATATTCAAAAATTTTAAGACTGCGAAATTTCGACATATCTAAAAATTTTGAAAAGACAATTCCAAACATCCCTGCTCTTATAATGCTTGTCACTTTTTTCAGACCCTGTAGGAGCCTAAAAATCTTGTTCATCCCGGACGTGGCCTTTTTGTCCAGAGGACCCTGATATTGAGAGAAAGAGAGAAACAAAGAACTAATACTCTTACCAATGAACCAAAATTCTTCAAATAATAATACCAATCATCTTAAAATCTTAAGAGAATACCATACGAAATATTCAGAAACTCGCTGCCATTTTCCTATTGGAAAATAATAAAGTTGAATTTTTGAGAAAAAGTGCATTTTTTATGAAAAATGCTTATGAATATGGCCTCAGAAGATGTTTAAAGTATTTAAAAATATTTCGCATGTTCAAGAAAATACTCTATAATTCACATTTCCAGTCAGCCACAAGATGAAAATTTAAGTTAATCACGAAAAAAACAAAATTTTCAAAAATTTCAATTTTGGAGATTTGATCCCAATTGTTTGTAGGAAGCACATAGATAGGCCTAAAAATCATTTTGTAAAATTTCCTGATGTTTTAGTGAGTATATCATAAAAACCATTTCAATTTTCAAATTGTTTCATTATCCGATAATTTTTTTTTGAAAATACAACAGCAACCGAAAATGAATTTCTCTAAAAACTAGACTAGCAAGATGTGCAAAAACAGATTTTGATTGTAGTCATTGAGATTGTGAATCGCATTCATTACTTTTTCTTTTTAATTGAGTATTTTTTCTTTCTGACCTCATATGCTATCTAAAAAAATTTTCTGGATTTTCTTCTTTTTCTTCTTAACAGCCAAACACTCAAAATAGCTCATTTCAGATACTTTGTTCTGAATCACCTGCGCACTCTATTCTTCACACGATTCTCACTAAAGTTCATTCCTTCTCTACACTCTAGCCTAATCCAATTTTATTTAGGTGGTTTGCACGTAGTCAAGAAACCCTTGGATCATATAATACTTCTTAAGGCGAGCTTGTCAAAATTTTATTTACCAAAAATAAAATGAGCAATTTGTCTTTCTTATTCGAGCGTTCTAAGTTGACTAAATTCGAAATAGAAAATTTTAGCATTCCAATTTTTATTTTGTACAACTTTGCCAGTAGAAGTGTTTTTAAATTAATTTTTCAGAAAATAGTGTGTTTCACAACTTTAAAAATATTTAAAACTTTTGTATAATTTTTGCCAATTTTGAGATTGCTAGATCAAAAATAGAAACGTACACTAATTCAAGCTAATTCAAAATGAATAATCTTATTTCGAGCACAAACAACAAAAATTTGGATTCCTGGTTCTTTATGGATAGCTCAAAATCAGATCAACCACCACCCAAGAAAATTCATATTGTGACAAATATAGTTATTTAGATCAACTTCCAGTGTTTTATAATACAATTTCCCGGTTAATTGAACAATTTTTTTTAAATTCGTTTTCCAATTTTTTTCTTTTTCTTTCGCCTTTGGAATTTTTTTATTTTGATTTTGGGGAATATCTTCGTTAATTAGAATATGAATTTAGGTATCCAAAGCATTCCGAAATTTGTTAGACGTATGATTTTTGCCTTCTGACAAAAATGTCATTAGACGAGACCAAAAACAAGATCATCCAAGAGTATCATCGTAGATAAGAATGATAATCCTCACTGAACAAAATTTTGTTAGATTTCTGACATATACAGCGTTGACAGATTGTGGAGTAATCGTAACTCTCTGTATATTATTTTTCATACAAACATTTGAATTACGAAAACCTAATTTGCTTAATTTTCAAAAACATGTTTCTGTAAAAAATTATTTCAAAAAGGGTCTATTCTTTTAAAATCAGGAATCATACTCTGAGACTTTTTTTTCCTTTTTTAGCTTCAGAGATAATATCACAAAAATTGTTTCAAGGTTCTGAAACTTTTTTGTCCGATAAAAATAATATTTTGAGAAAAACAACGGCCGATTTTCGAAATCAGAATTTATCGAAAATTTTCAAACAAACAAAAAATGCAAAAAGATCATAATTGTAGTAATCGAGGTTTTGATTCCCATTCATTACTTCTTTTTCATTTTTCAGTTTTTTTCGGCTTTAATTCATATTCTGTATTATAAAAATTTTTGAGCTTTTGAAATTTGGGGTCAACAGCTCTTGGAGTATTCTTGATACAGATTTTGCCGTTAATTTTTTTCTCTTTTGCCTTTTTATTTTTTGGCAGCAACACTCCAAAAATATCTCATTCCAGATACTTACTTGTAAACCACCTGCTTTCTCTATCTGGTTTGCTGGAGTCCTGGCAGGAGTCCACTCATTCTCTACACTCTAGCCTAATCTGATTTTCCTGAAGGTGTTTTGCTTGTCAAGCCAAGATTGCCAAAGATTTATTTGACCAAATGGGCGACATCTCTCCAGCCTTATCTGAATATTCACTTATCTCGGAACCATCTCCATATACTGACTATTCAACATCTTTCGTCAATTCCAGCTTTCTCCCCTTTTCAGGAGCCCCTTCGAGCCCCAGATCTTTCAATTCTCTATTTTCCTTTGTTTTTCCTGACACGTCTCCCTCTTGTTCGAAGACATCTCAGTCCCCGACAAATTCAGTTTTTCCAACATGTTCTAAAACCACACTCGTTCCCATGGAAAACTCCTTCCGAAAGTGTGTAATATGCAAACGTCCAGCATTCAGTCACAATTATGGTGTCCTTTCCTGTGACGCTTGTAAAATGTTTTTTCGACGCGTCGTGACCCTCAATCGAGATTACCAGTGCAAGAAGGGTGGGGCATGTACACCGAAGGAAAAAACAACAACTTGCAAAGGATGCCGATTTAAATTGTGCCAAGATTCGGGAATGACTTTTCAACCCAATTTTATGGATTTGAAGGACACGGATCAAAAAATTGATGTGACTAACATTCTTGGAGTACTGTTGTTTTTGGATGCCAGGAGAAGTAAACAAATGAAAACACAGTTCACAGATGAGAATTTCTCATTGGTTCAGGTCTTGGAGAATAGAAGAATGAAATTGAAGGCAAGGGTAAGTGAGCAGCGAATTCTTTGTTTAATGTTTTTGATTTTGATCAAATTGAATAACCAGATTTTGCGATCCAATATTTCTTCGTGAATTTTTCCGCATTTCCTATAAACTCCAAAAAATTTCCAGAGAGTTCAAAACTTGACTAGCCATGACTGGTCCTTTTTTGGGATTTACACCTCTATCGAATTTTTCATGTCGTTAGATTTTATGGCAGATGAGCGTTTGCAAACAAAAGATAAGGTGAGAATTCGTAACGAAAACGAAATAACCCGAGGATTTTTTCAGAAAATTCTTATAAGCAGTTTCTGCGTCAAAGCATCGTTATTTGCCAGTGCTATGAGAGCAGTGAAGGAGAAGCGAGATAAGCTGATGACTGTTGACGGGAAGGATGTTTATCCGGATGAAATTATGAAGTAAGTTTATTTTATTCGTTTTATTTTTTTTTGGGTATTTTTTTTTATACTTACTGTTGCATGATAACCTATAAAAATCAAATAAAAATAATTTTTAGTTAAAACGGGAGAAGTGAAAACTGAATATTAGTGTTAGTGGTTGGCAGAATTTAATTAAAAAATCATTCAGATCAGAGTCGCATGCCGTTAGACCTGTAAAAAACTTGTCCCCATATGTTTAAATATTGAACATTCAACATGGCTGTCGGCTTTTTGATATATTCTGAAAACCAGAAAACCAGAAAAACAGGCCTAAAGTGATCTTTGTTTGTGTTGTTTCGTGTTTCTTTTTTCTTCGCACCAATCTTTTTTTTATCTCATTAAAAACCTTTTTGTATGATCACATTTAGAAGTTATTTTTACCACAGGATCACATTCCTAAACACCTCTCTAATTTTTCTTCCTGGTTTTGCGTCATGCTAAACTTATCAAGAGTTCAGAAAACAAAATTTAAGCTCAATGTGATCAGTAAAAACTCTTTCTTTACAGATTCAAACAATTTTCTCTGGAATTCCTGAAACGAATTAGAAGTCTTCTAGTTGCAAAAATGATTGAACTGAGATTGACAAATGAAGAATTTGTTTTGTGCAATGTGATACTTTTCTGCAACCCAGGTAAGTTTTTTTGAGACCAAAAAAAAGCACAAGGGAATTCTTTATTTCAGCGCTTCTGATAACCGGAACAGATCAAGATGTGATTGTCGACAACAGAATGCGTATACATCAGCTCTTCTGGAATACTGTAACCTGGCATACGGGAAAAATGGACCATCAAGGTTCACGGATCTTTTATCCTTATTCCACGTCATCAACAAAAATTTTGAAGATGTGCAGGCAATGACCGTAATTTTCAAGCTGTGTTCTCCACAAACTATATACCGAAGAATTGTGACGGATGTAATTTGAATTTTTGTTTGAAAGTGTACATTTGTGACCGAGCGTATACCAAAATATTTGTATTGTCAAAGTAACAGTTGCTAAAATTTTTTTTTTAATAAGCAAAATTGGAAATGATGAAGATGTTTAACATTAATTTGAGCACTTGACTTCATTATGTAATTATAAAAAATTTCAAAATGTATTCTAACAGAAAATATTTCTAATAAATTATACTTTTCAATATTCCTACTAAATCAATTGAATCAAAATAAAATTATAAAAATGCATCACTAGCCTGAAAATTCACGTATCGGATAATTTCTGATTTTTGTGATTTTTTCCGAAAATCTGGAACAAATTTAAAAAACGATCACGAATGTGAAATCTCAGTCGGTTTACGCCCCTTCGGGGCTCAACCTCCTGGCCTCCGGTTACAGTTCTCGTAATCTCATAAACAAATTTCTTAACTTTTCCGGAATATTTTTCTCAAAGTTTTTTTCAAGGCTATATTTGGAAATCTGGAAGTTTGGAAGTTCAGAGTTTCAGAAATTCCTAAAACAGAAATTCAAAAATTTTTTAAGTTAACATTTCTGAAATCAAGATATTCGAACAACTCATAGTTTTAAAATACATTTGGAAGTTCAGAGATTTTTCGAAAATTCAGGATAAAAAAATCGGAAATTGGGAAATTGAGAAAGTCTTTACTTTAATCTCTGCAAAACCTCGAAGGTTCTGAAAATTGAAAATTTTCAAGTTCGACTTCAGTTCATTTCTGAATCTCCCGGATTTCCGGTTTTATGACTCTTCAATTTTTTTCTAATCTTCGAAAAAACTTTATGAATGAAAAAAGCCGTCGAAATTCTAAGTTTCGAAAATTTGGAAACTCAGAACTCAACTTCTGAAATCCTGAATTGCTGAACTCTCAAGTTTTCAACTTTTCTTATTTCTGAACTTTCGGAATTTTAAGTGTCTAAACTTCTGATTTTCTTAAATTGATAATTTCAAAAATTATGAAGTGAAGAAGGTCGGAAGCTAAGAAATTGAGTTCAAACTTAGAGATTTAGATTTGAAATTTCAGTAAACTAAAATTTTCCCATCTCAAATATGAGAGAATAGATTTTCTGAAATTTCCGAACTTCCCGAACTTCCACTTAACGAGCTGCTGGATTTCCGCATTTCCGCATTTCCGGATTTCCGGGCTTCTGACTTTTTCTCCAAACCCAGGAAATTGTAAGTTTGAAAGTTTTCGAACTAACAATCCCATAAAACTAACTTGAAAATCTAGTAATCCTGAGACTCAGAAATTTAGTAAATCGAAAATTTGGAAATTTTCAAGTTCGGATTTTTAGGATCTCAGTAATTGGGAAATTGAAAACATCAAAATTCCAGAGTCCAACGAAGAGTTAGAAAATTATTTTTTCCTAAATTCAAAATAACACGGTTTTTTCTGAAAACGCATACTTAATCTTAAAAACATGTTTGCTCATTCTTAGAAATTTGAAAAAAAAACTTCTGGGTAAATGGTGACTCGGAAAAATCTGAATAAGTTTGCAATTTCACTAAATTTTTCTATCAATCTGAAACGAATATATATGTGATAAAATATTGAAATGCCTTTTACCGAAGTGTTCAAACCGATGAAAAAATCTATCGCACACATTCTCTTTCACTTCTTCCCTTTGTTCAAACAACCAAAAAGAAATTCGATAACTGTCGGACTCGAACCCGCACAGCGCGCTAAAGTGAAGCGCGTTTACGGCTATACCATGGGTTACCACAGCAAAAGTTGTAGAAATTGTGTACACGTGTGTGGGTTTTCCTCGCCTTTTCCCCACTCGCTCTCCTTCCTGATCCTCAACGGAAAGTTGGGGCATCTAATTAGACACATTTCTGATCTATCTGTCCAGGTTTCAGCTCTATCGGTTAACTTTGAGTGGGAACACACACACATACACACGCACATACGGAATCTGGTGAATGTTATTAGTAATGATAACTTTGTAAATATTATTAGAGAGTCTTTAACCTTTTTTGAACAAATAGTACCTCATTCAGGTACGATTCTGTATAAGGTGTAAGGGTCTGCAAGACCCTTATTACTCGGTTTCCCATGTAATCGGTTCTACTGTTTCTAGTCTGATTCCTTAGCGCCACGACGTGCCTTTCTCTCTGGACTTTGCCCCAAGAGTCATGAAATACCATTCTTACATGTGACATATTGGCTCTAAGAGATCAAGATAGAGATTCCCAATCCTCCAGTCCCTCTACAGTCTCTAAACCCTGAATCATCCCGAATTCCAATGACGATTCCCATCGCCCCCACGGCTGCAGAAGCTCTAGGCAGCGGCTCTCCAAGATCTACACCATCTCTTATTAAATTCCTCATTTTCCATTATCTATTTGTCAGCATTTCTGTAATCCCGCCCCAAATTCCATTTATTCCCCGTTTGTATATAAGCCCATTCATGTAACCCTAAAGTCACGATTACACCTTATTCTTTTGTACAGGGCACAAGTCGCCCTTTTCCCCTAAACCAAACCTAAGATTAGAGAATAAACCTATTTCATATCCATGAACTCTTATTAAGGTATGGTTGTTTAAAATATCAACTAAAAGCTGTCAGATGTTCAGAAAAAGATTTGTTATTATCCATTATTATTCATGTCTAGGTTAAGAAATATCAATTTTATGTCACCACGTCCCTTTTTGTCTATTCATTGTCATTTCTGGAAGTTGGAAGTCACTAGAGATTTCAACTAGGATCGGATGTATTAGTTATCTTTCAGGCCCTTTCTCAGATCGTTTCGCAATTTAAACTGGTCAATATTTGATACTTTTTATGTTTTTATTTCTTTTCAGGAATTATTCTACAATATTTAATCATTCTCCACTCAAAAAGGTGGCTCTCTGTAATCTTCGAACACTGATTTTATGAATTGTGTCCCCCTTGAAAGCTTAAACCAGCATACGCATGGTTAGCTTTCAGTCATCCTGGCAGGGCCAGTTACTGAATTTTCATACTATTTTCCATACTTGTCACGGGCCGGGCCGGGCCGAGCCAAACTTGAAAATTCTCCGGCCCGGGTCAGGTTCTGAAATTTCCAAACTCTGCTTTTTTGTAAGTTTTCGAAGTTTTCATTAAATTTTGGATAATTTTCAAAGGTCCGATACTTTGAAAAGAGTGGATTATTCCAGGAAGTTCTTTTCCATGTGAGATTCCATGAATTTTTATTAAAATTTTTCCAAAAATCAGCTACCCGGGTCGACCGGGCCGGGCCAAAAAAAATTTTTTCGGAAGGCGGAAGTTGAAGTCGGAAGCCAAAACTTCTGACATAAATGGTGTTGATAAGCCTACCGCCCGCTGCGATTTTTTGTCTAGTGTGTAGAAAAAAGGTATCCCCCGATACCTAAGCGCTTTCAATGGAGAGGAAAGCGGATGTTTCTGAAAACATTTTTCAAGTGTTTATTTTTGTAGAAGTTAGTTGAATTCCGGAATCAGCTCACAGAAAAGAACAGAAACCAGGAAAAGGATCGTGTTCCACCTTTATTCAACTTAATATCCGAGGAGCAGAACAAGACAACATTCAAAGAAGAACCGCGGAGAAGGCCGAGAAAAAACTTTGAAAACCGAGGACACCGGAGAACTGTTTTTCCTGAAACGCTTCATTCAGACATTTGCTGCTCAACAGATTTATTTTATTCACGATTCCAGAAAAAAATACAAAAAATTGAATAAAAAGGAGATAAGGAATGAGATTAATCAGAATCGGGTTGTGTTTAAAAAGATGAAGAAGATGTTTGAAGAAGATGAAGAAGTGTTGAGTCGAGCGTCACCGGAAACGTTGCAGGTTGAGTTTAGAGGAGAGCTCCATTGACGAGGTTGTAGTAGTCCGGGGCGATGGTGTAGTTGCGGGCCTTGAACTCATAATAGCTGAACGGATAATTGCACATGTTTGCAAAACAAGTGCAGACGTAGACGTTGTACTTCTCTCCGAATGCGTTCATCTTCTGCAAATATTTACAATTAAGATTTTATTTTAATTTCTGGTCAACAAACCTGGAGTTCGCAGTCCTTGTTGCTGGTGACATGCCACATTTTTGCAGCACGGGATGGGTGGATGGACTGTCCGCCGTGTGCCGATGAAGACTCGGCCGGATTATAAATACTGTAGCAGAAGCGCTGATGGTGTTTGACATCAACGACGTTGGTGTAGCGGTCGAGGGAGTGGCACGATAGCCCCATGGCGACGGCTCCAAGCATTGAGATGATGGCGAGTTTGAAGATGAGCATCTTCAAGAGGTAGAACGAGAGGTAGGGGAGAGGTGATGAACGATGTCAGTTGAACGACAGAGGTATGATAAGAAGCTTCCAGCCAGCCCTTTTATACGGATGAACTCCGCCCATTTTTCTTTCAGAAAACTGCTTGACTTTTTTTTCTTCATGTCTCCGCCCATTTTCAGATCTCGAATACATACTTTGTATTGCTCCGCCCATACCACAAGATCAAACAACATCATCGGAATAAAAGAGATGAAATAAAATTCTGATATGCTTCAGAATCAAATGGATGAATAATCTAAAATTGGAGTTTTTCATTATTACCTGTACTAGAAATAGAGGGTTCTAGTGATGGCGTGGTAAGAAGACACGTGAAGCTACTCTGTGAAAGACACATGAAACTACTCTGTCATCGTAAACGCTCTAATACAAACTTAACCTAAAACTCTTTAAGCTCAATTATCTCAGTTTTTTTTTTGAAAAATATTGAAAAGATGTCAAGTTACCAACTTTTTATAAGTTTACCAATTTCAGATATTTTCCATATACTGAAATAATTGATCTCAAAAATTGCTTATAGTGAGGTTTTGTAACAGAGCAATCTGTAGGATTTGGTATGAGCGATTCTGCGTTAAAAACACATAGCGTGGTTCAGTAAAATATTTTACAGATGTTAGTTCATGGAAATCTAAAAAATGAGAACGTTCATTTCATTCTTATATTTTCATTGAAAACAAAAAAAATTCAAATGTGTCTTCAGAATGGAAACAATGCAAGTTTTTGTGAAACCAGTGAAACCAAGTCAAACCTTTTATTGATCAAATCATTCCAACAAAGAAAGCCTTGAAACTCAAGAACAGGAAATGAAAACTTCAGAAAATAAGTTGTATAAGTGTTACTTTTGTTTATTTTCAATGCACGTTGCGGCCAAAATATTATTTAAAATCGCATCGTCGGTCGAGCAGCAAAAACCTTACGGTATTTTTCAAATTAATACATGCGCCTTTGAACCGTACCTTACAAGTATTTTAATTTATACAGTTTTCCCTCAATTTCTTGCTCGTTTGTGTCAATTGTTGTTCTTATAATTAATATCCCTTGTAAGATACAAAAACAGTCATTTATGTTCCCAAAACTAAATACTTGTAAGGTACGGTTTAAAGACGCATGCGTTGATTTGAAAAATAACGTAAGATTTTCGCTGCTCAACCGGCGATGCGATTTTAAATAAATTTTCGGCCGCAACCTGCATTGAAACAACAGTAATATTAACTATATTTTCACAAAGACAAATGACAAAAACGTAATTTTCAAGTCGAAGTATTCCCAACTTCCACTCTCAAAAAAAAAACGGAATTTTCCGTAGTTTCGACATTCTGAAAAGGTATTTTGAAAATTTTCGGAATCCAACAATTCTGAACGTTGAAAAAATTCGAACTTTCTGATTTTCTCAAATCATTTCCCTCTTTCACAATTACACTATTTTCTTCATTTTATTTCTTGCTCGTGTCGTATTTAAATCGTACGGTCTATTCTCATTTATTTTTGACTATCATGCCCCGACGATTTTTCTGTGCTGGCGTACCAACGTCACGGGACGAAAATGTGATTTTTTTTTTTGATGACAAATCCTGTCAGATACAAATGTATTTTTGGTTTTTTTTTCGGAGAACTACAAAAGATTAGTAAATGTTTAAAAGGATTTCAAGGTTTCAACTGACACATGGATTCTTACTAAAATCTCAATATCCCATTGTTGGCAGTTTCAGAATATTTGTTATTCGTATTTCACAGGTGTTGATAAGGCCATGGAGAATTAGATTATAATGCAATAGAAACGTGTGATACGTTGCGCCGGATCTCCTCCAAACAATAAAGCACAGAAGAAAGATTTTAAAAAATTTTCAAAAAAAGAAAGCTGGAGATTTTTGAACAGTTTTTATTTTCATGAACAGATCTGAAACATTAAATGTTTCAATTGCTATGTGAAAAAAGAATAATTATGGCTTCGATTAATGTGGATAAATGACCCGAACTCAAAAAAAAACGACGACTGGACCATGATGCTTGGACCAGAGATGTCAGGAAGTAAAATTTTTGCACTCGGAAGTCGGAAGTAAAATTTCACTTTCGGAAGTCCGAAGTATGATGTCGGAAGTAAAAATTTTGAACTAGGAAGTCAGAAGTCGGAAGTCGAAAGTGTGAAACACCCAAAAGTAGGTTGTAGGAAGTCGGAATTCGGAAGTAAACTGCCAAATTTTCAAATGTTTTAATTGCTTACAGTTCTTTCGGAACATAAATTATGGTATTGAGCTAATTTTGAACATTTTTTGATTTTTCTGGTCAAAAATGAAAAAATTTCGCAACATTTTTTGCAAAAATTCGTTGGCGGAATTTGAGAGTCTGAAGCCGGAAGTAAAACTGATTTTCCGGAAGTCGGAAGTAGGAATTCGGAAGTAAATTTTCGAACTAGGAAGTCGGAAGTCGGAAGTGAAAAAATGCCCGGAAGTCGGGAGTAGGAAGTCGGAGTTCCTGACATCTCTGGCTTGGAGACATTATAAATCACTGATCCAATAAATCAAAAAAAGATTTTCATTGAAATTTCAACAGAAATGAGTTTTGTTTGTTCACTCTTATAGTCTGAAATTAGTAAACCATGTTTTCTTTCCAATGGGACATCCGGATCATACTGCGAAATTCTAATTTTCAATTTTTTTTTCTGTAAATGTTTCATTCCCAAGTAGGATCTTTATTTTGAGATTGAGCCAAAAATTTCCAAAGCACCAATTTTACTGGACAATTTTTTTTCGATATTTTTCTACTAAAAAGTTTTACTTGTCGATTTTCTTCATTTTTGACTATAAATTGAAACACCAGATAATCTGCCTGCATCACTTGTTTTCAGGTTTCCGGATGTTCGCTGTGTGGAATCAGAATAATAGTGTTATCCTATTGTTATCAGTTTCAAGAAAATTGATATACCTCACATATGTTTATAAGGTTGTGACGAGTCCGATTAGGACGTGCTGAATTAGAGTTTGCAGGGATTTCTGAATTTTCGAACTCTCCAATTTCTGGCAACAAAAAAGCATGACTCAAGATCATTTGATACTTGGAAGTCTTCCCAAATTTTCAAATGCCGGTAGAGAATAACCGGAATTTCTGATGATTTTTTCTACAGATCAACAACGAAAAATAATGAAATCATCTCAACTTGTTTACATGATTTTCAGGATTCAACTCGTTCCACACCAATGATTTCCCACACGATATTAAAATTTCTCATGTAAACATTTCAGATAATGTTAGAAAAGGCTCGAGAAAGAAGAACAGTTGGTTCATAAAGAACATCACATCGGGATATTTTCACAAATGTTTTTGCTGAATTGAACAATTCGAAGCCCTTCAAAGGGACACATTTGAAACAAAAGGATAGGAGATGTTGTATTGACTAAGAGGAGTATATGGTCCGTTAAATATATATTTTTGGAGGATGAACAATAGAAAACTTTTACGAACCTTTTTTGAAAGTTATGAACATGAGAACAAAACATAGTGTAGATTATGAAAAAAAAAAGTTGAATATTAGAAGCGGTGAACCAGTGAAATTGGCTAATCAATCAAAAAATACAGACAAAAGCATTTTTCAGATTACTGTGCTTACTGTTATGAGACCTTCCACCACGGCCACCAGCGTTTATCTCCCACCCATCTATCTGTTTTGGAACTATTACAATATCCAAGTTGGAATATTCGTCTTTTCGTATTTATTTTGTATTTTTCAAATCAATTGTGGCCCAGAGATGACAACTGATGATTTCCTTTCCGATATTCGAGTTCAAAATTTTTGTTTCCTGACATTTCTACTATTAACATCAAATTTGTAATTTATCCTAATATTCGCAGAGAAAAATCAGTAGTATAGAATTGTCCTTTCTGGCGCAGCTTTTCGCCCACTTTTTTCAAATTTTTATTTTGCTGTTTTTTCAATTCTTTTGCCCTAATTATTTTTTTTCATATAATATTCTTAGCAAAATCCACGATTTTCACACTCTCAGATTTTGGTGAACTCAGTCCGCCCCACTCACTTTCCCACTGTTGCCCACTTTTGCCCACTTTTTTCAACACCTCAAAATAGTTGCTTTTCACCCCAACTGATAAGAAATTCTCTACACTTAAACACTTTTTTTACTCTCTTATCAACATGTTCTCGAGGCTCAATGGTAGAGTGTCTGTCCTGTGTTTGAATGGTAGAAAGTTCGACCCCCACTCAGCAAAAAAGATCAAGATTTAAAAAGATATGACGAAGTTAGAGGAAGACTTAATGAAGGAGAAAATATGCAAGAAAAACTCCGTCGACCGAACGAAAAAATTTCGCATCGAAAATGAAAAAAAAAAAATTCACCATGAAGAAACGGCAAAAATAGCAAGCGAAAATAGCAAGCGAGTGTTGTCTTATCAATTCTTTACCATTATTACGTTTTATTAAATGTTGAACAATGATTTGAAACCATTAACAAATGTGGATTTATTGCAATTATCTAAGGATTTACAAATCAAAAACTTTAGAGGGGTGTTTATGAGAGACACTCTTCCCGAGAAACCGGAAGAAGTGGAAGTAGGCATAGTGAATCTTGATATTGCAAACAACAAAGGCACTCATTGGGTTTGTTATAAAAAAGATAAAGATGGTTTATATTATTTTGATTCGTTTGGTTTGAATCCTCCCAAAGAAATTATTCAGTACTTAAAACAGAATAAGCAAAATGAAATAAAGTTTTCCACTTTTCAAATACAAAAATTTCATACCCATCACTGTGGTTACTACTGCTTACTCCTACTAAAATTATTAGAAAAACATGATTATAAAAATGCTATACTTACTTTGATTTAGGAATTCTGTAATGTTCAAAAGCTAGAGTGTCTATATTATCAACTGCATATCTTTTAGATTCTTTGTCTTTACCGATCACATTATTCAGTGCAACTTTATTTTGTTTTACAGTATGAATTTGATGCTTACTCGAATTAAATAACATTTGTTGTCTCCTTTCAATAGTATGATTTAATAAGCAGTTCTTATAGTCATTAAAAGTCATTTCCTTTTTGACAACAGATTTCTTCACACCTTTATTTTTTTTAGACTCCATTCCCTCATCAGTTTTAAAAGCATATTGTTTTGGTCTAAAGGCTACAATCTCAGTCATTATCTTACCATTCAACTCATCTTTGAATTTACCAATTACTTTCTTGTTTTCAACACTGTGCAGCCTATTGTCTTTCGGGTAATCCGAAAAATCAAAGTGCTCTTTCATAGCTAACATATCTTCATAGACATCGTCTGTTTTAATTTCATAAATATAAGAATCAGTATCTTGATAGCACAGTCTCAAATTTGAAGTATACTGAAGAAGCATAACATCATAGTGGAACTCATACATTAGATACTTGCTCAAATCTAAAATAGACATCCCCACATAAATTGGCTTATCTAATTTAATATTCTTCTGAGTCATCTCTACTAAAATCATATTCTCATTTATAATATGTCTCGTTTAAAATTATTGCTAGCAGCTAGTTTCATAACTTTATCCATATTTGACACCACTTTGACATCCACTCTATTTCTAACGTTCTCCATAGTTTTACCAAAGACAGAATTGTTCATTAGTTTGAAAAAGTCTTTCTCAAAATCATTCTTTGCATGTGTTCTTAAATTAGTATTTAGTTCTATGTAAGAAGATAACCAATTGCTTTCTTTAAAAGTAATAACTCTATGAATTTTCTTCAAAATTAATCCATGATCTAAAACTTGCTGAAGCATTTTGAAATGTATTACATAATTTCTCTTTGGACTAAAATCATTTATTAGTTTATTGGTAGATCCAACTCGTTTATTCTCTGGACAGAAAGGTAAATCATTATGTTTATCATGTAATTCTTCTGGATAATCTAAATCTACTTCTAGTATGCAACCTTTTTCTTTTGAAACAAGATCATCTATCATTTCTAAGGTAAAGTCTTCAACGAATTCGAATTCATCATATGGTAATTTCTGACTCATTGCCCATCCATATAAGTTATTTGCATCTAGATATAATAAGTATTTTGATTCCTCTTCGGGATTATAATTAGACATGTACTTGTTATTAGCTTTCGAATATCTTAGCATGGTATTACACATACCTCCTCGAATACCTTTTTCAATAAAATTATACATTTCAACATCCTTGATTGTCTGTAGCTTAACTCCAGTTTTGAATAACATGGCATCCCAAGCTAATCCGGGAGATGTATAGTACCAACATGGATCTAACTTATATTCTTTGAGAGACACATTTCTGAAAGTTTCAAAAACATCAGCTAATAGTAACACATCATTAATCATATAAATTCTTGTGTAGTCTTCTAAAGTTTTACAATTTGTTTCCTTCCATACTTTCTGAGCATATTTATAACTCTCTTCACTAATATTTTCACCAGATAGAGCATTGTAGAAGTTTTCAATTGGAGGAAGTTCTTCGTTAGAATACTTTTTGAAGGAATCCATAAAATCATATGGATACACACCTTTGCGTCTTAATAGACTAAAAGTATTCTCATCATTATAATACTTTTTAGTAATCACACATTCATCATCTTGTAGGTTATTGCTGAGATAATCTAGGCTGGAAGGCATAAAACCAAAACTATCTAAAAATCTTATTTCACATTGTTTATGATTCTTGTATATATAACTAAAACTAATAAACTTTTCTATGTTAGCTGAAATGCTTTTAATTTCTACTCCTCTTTCCTTCCACAACATACTTGATTCCTCATCACTGATTATATGATGTGAGTCATAGCCTTTAAGATTATGGAAAAATACTGGTATAAAATTATTTCTACGTTTCAATAAGTTACATGCATTACATAGAGGTCCTCTGTATAATCCAGTCCAATGATCATGATCTCTAACTTTATCCCTATCAAACACATTCTCACACTGAGGACATGAATTACAGTTATTATAACATTCTAACTCTTCTTCAGTTAATTCTTTCATTTTCTCATCACCTTTTTCCAATAGTCTTGTACATACATCTAAGATATACTCATTGAATTTTAAAATAGCATCATATCCAACATAGCTCTTCATTTCGTAAATGCTCTGAGTGAAAGAATCAACAACAATTACACAGAAAGCAGAGGCCTTATGTTTACCGACGTTCTCACTCCATGACTTTTGAGGAGAGTTACTAACACTATTAATTTTATAGATAACAGATTCAAAGTCGGCATAGCAGACATATCTATGTTTTTGAGTTTTCTGAACTCCTTCAAATTTAATATAGTCTTTAGGGGATTTAATCATTTGGAGTGGAGCATTACTCATACAGTCATTCAAATGGTTTTCATATTTTTCTTCACTGTAAAAGTTATTATGACATCTGATGCAAAATTTGTTACTTCTGCTATTCTGCGTATTCATTAATCGATCTATTTTTTTGATCAAACAGTAATGTCCTTCTCCAGAGTTATCAGTTACTAGCAAAAGATTTACCACTCTATTTAAATCTACTTTAATGTTTTTAGATACTTTATATGACTCTATTCTTTTTCCACGATCTTCAACGTTATGGGTTAGAATATTAACAGCTAAATTGTTTCTCTTCTCAAACTTATCTACATCTTTAACTTGGAAAGGAAATTCAAATCCATCAAAGTTAATCTTAGAAGCATGATCTTTATATTTGTTTACTCTTTGAGCATCCTTTTCAACTGGAAACAAGTGTGCTAGAATACACCACATAAAACATTTATCATCTTTGTTTTGGACATTGACTACTGCTTTTTTATTTTTTATCCAATCTGGTAATTCAATATATTTAGATCCTGATAATGGCTTAATCTTAGTTTGAGACATTCTCAAGCCAATAATTCTATTCAATCTAAAACCAGAACCTTTACCTTGAAAATGTTCTAATCTATTTACTAAATCTAATTTTAATTTTTCATAAAAGACTTTTCTATCATCCACCGGATTCACTATTTCGTTAGCGGTATTTAGATGGACTATAGCCTTATTTTCTGTACCCTCTTGTATCATTTCACATTCTAAGGATACATATATTTTCACACTATTTTCAAAAACATCTTTCAAAATATCAGACTCTTTCTTATTTAAAAATGATTCTAATGTTTTAGAATTTCCACTGTGAAAAGTATCTCTCAATGTATCACCAACTTCTTTGTAATCACTAAAAACAGTTTTATCGAAAGGAAATAGATTCCTCATTTGGTATCTAGATTGCTTGTTAGCTTCATCTTTATCATAGTTCTCAAGTATTTTACGCATTTCAGACACGCCCTTCTTTCTAACATCAACATCGCTCATTCCAGTTCTGTTTCTTACAAGTTTTCGTAGTTGATCCCTACCCAATTTTTCGTAATCAACTAGTTCCATTTATAGAGTAAGAAAAGTATCACTTAAAACCTATAATAAATTTTCAGAAATATAGAATAAATCAACCTAAAATCGATGATATTTCCTGTAATAAATGCATTCTGTAGTTGAGATAAATGACCCAAAACGACGTAATGAAATAGTAAACAACTTTTTGAAAAATCGGAAAGAGCATAAAATCAAGAATTTACAAGAGCGATCAGATTTAGAACATGTAGAAGATTATAGAATTGAAGTATTTAAACCTATTTTAGAATCCAACAAAAAACTACAAGAAGAAATAATTGATGAAAAGAATAAAATAGTAGAAACTCTAAACAACTTTAAATCCCCTTCTCAACTTTCAATAGCCCCTGCAACTACACCAACACCAAAGACAAATCGTAAAAGTCTTATTAAGCAACCCTCAGTAATCCTACCTCCCTCTCTACCTAGTTCTTCTTCACCTCAAGTTGTAAGTAATCTAATTGTTGGATATCTTCAAGATAATTCAGATAGAAGTAATGCTGGATACTCAATCAAGTTCAACAAAGCAGAAAAGAAATATACTATTGGTAACAAAGACATTACATTCGATCAGAATATTATCAAAGTTAATAATGAAGAATACACAGCAACTGAAGGGTTGATGGAGTTACTACTCAAAAAGTCTCCTGACATAAAAAAGATTACAACTGAAGATTCTTCAAATTACCAAAAAATATTATTATGCTCCGATGCTCTGTACCAAGGTTTTGATAAAGAATCTAAAAGATACAATTCAGATTCTAGCGATAAATGGAAATTCATAAAGTCTAAATATTTTGTTGCTAAGACCCCAACTACCAGCTGGAACATCTTCAACATCAGGAAGTTCTATTTCTTTCATACCATCAAATACCAACTCTCTAATTGACTCATTAAGACTATCTATTGGTTCATATCAGGCTGGTAACAAAGACGAGTATAATAAAATTCATGCAATGTTAGATGAACTAGTCAAACAGAAAGTAATCAAGAAGAAAGACTTAGGGGTTATTTACTTGAATATTGGTATGTAATCATTAGGTCTTGTTATACACTCTATACATTCTTACAAACTCTTACAATCTCTTACAATAGCCTATTTTTTCTCTAGTTAAATGTCACAAAAAATTACACTAGCTAGAATGTACATCAGCGATCAAGACAAAACCCCTCTTAGAATTGATAAAAGAAACTGGGTAAAACAACACAACTTTTCAACTCAAACGTTATATGATGGTTTAAGAGAATTAGCAAAAGAGATGGATATCAGTAAATATGTTGTTATGAAGACAAAAGGTAAATCAAAAACAAGAGATGAATCTGAAACAGTAATAGAAAAGAAAACTTCAGATTATGAACCTCAATCTAATAAAATAAATCTTCTTTCTCCTAGAAAGATTTAGCTAATAATTTACCAAAATTTCATTTTTGGAAGATAATAATCATTCACTTTTTTAATCATCAATTTTTCTAGCGCTTTCTTATTACTTGTTGGAAAATGCTTATTCAAATATGTATCAATTTTTTCATTTGTAAACCTTTCTAGCAACGTATCCCTAAATACCTCAATGGCTTTAACTGTTCTAATATTAATTTGTGTTCCTCCCTTAATTTATGAATAGAATTAGGATTGTATTGTAAAAACGTTTCTTTATTAGGAGTAGTGATACAAAAGAAGGCTTCTTTTTTGTTATTATCAATTAAATCTACTAGTTTTAGATAGATTTGTCTCTGAACATCATGGACCGTAAATAATTCTTTCGCGCAATCCACACCTTTTAAATCTTTTTTTTAAATAAATCGGCGTAGGTTATATTTCCTCTTTTCAATGCTAGTACCTGCTTTTTTGCTTCTTCGGTCTTTGCTTCCAGTATTCTCATATCTTCTTCTCTATCTTCCTTCTGTTCATATGATACTACAATTTTCTTCAATTCCTCATTCTCATTGGTTACGATGTCATATTTATCCTTCAACACACTATGTTCAAATATAAGAAACTGATGTGATAAACCAATGATGTCTAATAGAATGGTTGATCTGTCTACTCCTACGGCTTTTAATATTTGTTGCATTTTTTGTCTGATGAGGATAATAACTTCTTGCGAGTCTTCTCCAAAAATTTTTAGATCTTCTTTTGTAAAACAGGAAATCATATTTAAAAACGAAATGATTGAATCCTCTCCTCCAACCCTATTAATAGCCTCTCTTAAAACTGTGTTTCTCAAATCATTTAATGTTATAGGTTGTTCCTTTTTAATTGTGTTCAGCGTATTTATTTTAGTAGTCGTTGTCGTTGTGCTCATTTATTAAAGAAAAAAATGTTTAAGGGTCCCACATACTTAAAAATTGCTCTTGAGTAATAGGGTTCCATGTATCATCTAATTTTGTTTCATCATTATTTTGGGTTGTTTTCTCTTCTATAGTCAATTCACTTACACCTTTCTTGATGTTGTTTCCATTTGTGTGGGGTTTCTTCAACGTCTCAAATTTTGATTGTTCCATTCTTTTGGGCAATGGCTTATTTTTAACTTTGAGGGATACAATTCTATCCTCGGGAACTTTATATTTTTTGATAATAAAATTATCATTCTTTAATACAAAAACTTTTTTAGTCTCAGTATCCTCATCGTCTAGATCCATAAATTTTTCGGAGTATTTTATTATTTTATCTAACCTAGATGTTCCTTCAACCTTTAACCAAACTGCATCTATAATTACTTTATCTTTATAGAGATTGTCTATGATTGGCTTTTCTAAATTAAGATGTTCAAAAGAAGATATTATTAAATCATTTTCAAAGTGATACATGATTCTTTTAAAGTTACGCTTCATTTAATCGTTAATTTTTTAGCTTTTTGCTTTTTGAGGATTTTATTTTTTGCCTACAGTGCTTACAGTGCTTACAGTGCTTACAGTGCTTACAGTGCTTACAGTGCTTACAGTGCTTACAGTGCTTATGCTTCCTATGTTTTTTCTGGGGAGTATTTTTTATTTTGTGCTTACAGTGCTTACAGTGCTTACAGTGCTTACAGTGCTTATGCTTCCTATGTTTTTTCCGGGAGTATTTTTTATTTTGTGCTTACAGTGCTTACAGTGCTTACAGTGCTTACACTGCCTACTGTGCTTACTAC